ATGTTCACTGCAGCATCATTTACAATAGCCAAGACCTGGAAACAGCCCAAGTGCCCATCAGTAGACTGTTGGATAAAGAAGCTGTGGTACATTTACACATGGAATACTATGTGGTCATAAAAAAGAATAAAATCCTATCTTTTCCAACAGGATGGGTGGACCTGGAGATTATTATGCCAAATGAAATAAGCCAGTCAGGGAAAGACAAGTGTCATATGATTTCACTCATATGTGGAATCTAATGAACAAAATAAACTGACAAAATAGAAAGAGAGGCATGGATACATGAATAAACTGACAGCTGTCAGAGGGAGAAGGATTGGAGGACTGAATGAAAAAGGGTGAAGGAATGAGCCAAAAAAAAAAAACCCAAAAAACATATACATAATACCTAGACAGACAACAGTGTGGTGATAGCCAGAGAGAAAGGAAGTGTGGGGGAGCCTGACCTGGGCAAAAGGTGGGATAATGGGGATGGAAATGAACTTTGCTTGGGGCGATGGTCACAAGATGCAGTGTGCAGGTGATGTTTTGTTTAGTTGTACAATTGAAACCTGTATGGTTTTGTGAACCAGTATCATCCCAATAAATTCAACTTAACAAATAAAAAATAAATAAAGTATTTAACATGCAAGAGTCATGGTCATTGGCTGTGTCCGTTTTCCCCTGAATCAGAAAGCAGTTTCCTCATTTCGCCTCTGTATGTCCATCGTGACAATGTAGGGATGAGCTGAGGAAACAAAGGGCACATGTTAGAGCCTTGGACAGCAGTGGTACAGAAGGGTTGGCAAGTTAAAGTGGAATGTTGGGTGGCAAAATGAAAAAATACAGGTCATCTCGTCCTTTATTACGTAAGAACATGGCAAAACGAGAACATGGACACCAGCCAGACCGGAATTCAAGGCCTGTTCTCTTTCACTTGCTTAGTGACCTTGGGCAAATGACCCTGTCACTCTGAGCCTTGTTTCCCTCCTTAAAATGGGGATGTGGCCCTTGCAGGTTTGTGAAAGGCTTGTAGATGAAATGTGTCCGGTGTCTTTTACAGAGTGGGTGGTTAGTAAATGGTAGCTGTCGTCACCATCTCTGAACCCTGTCTGTACTTCTTCCTAGGTTAGGGTGGAATTTTTGCCCGAAAGAGGAAAAGGTGAGAAATGAGTTAGTAGCTCAGCCACCTCCACACTGTTGCTTTGGCATCTGGACCTCTGTCTCTCCTCCCTCGTCAGACCTTAGGAGCCACTTGAGCAGCTGAATATAGTGATGTTCATAGGGTTAACCTCCAATAATTACTAGATCTGACTGCCATGCTTTATTAAGTTCTAGAGACTACCATAACGTCCTAAAAATATCCCTGTTTAAATTGGTGTTACTAGAACCTCCTGGAGGGGTGTGGTTACTAAGGTACAGACTATTATCATGAATTTTAAGCCCTTGGGCCTTCTAGAATCTACTAGTATGCCCACTGGCCTGGAAATCTCTTTCAAATATCTTAAGACTGGTAAAGGGACCAAATACAAACATGGCAGTGCTTCTGATGAGTTTAACATATACTTAAATTTCTAGGCAATTTAAGGGATCGTGTATTTCTGTTTGCTTGTTTGTTCTGTTTTTACATATAATCATAATTTCTGGCTGAAATTCAACCCCTGTCCATACTTAGCAACAGGATAACTAATACTATTTAGTAAGAAACGGGAGTAGTCTGAAACTTTGATTAAGAAAAATAAGGCACTTTACCTGAACAAATTTCAAATGGATCCATTTAAAATGAAACTAAATGGCACTTAACTGGTTTGCAAATTGGGACCTATTCATCTCAGGAAAAATGACTCAAGTCTTAATTTATCCCTAAAATTGGCTTTATTATTACATTTAATTATACTAGAAGCTTGTTACAGACTTGTAGCTTCTCTCTATCCCTTTAAACTGCACTTTATACAGACAATAATTGAATATTGGATAGAAGAACTTGATTTCCAAAGAAATATGTTTCTAATATTTTCCTCTTTTCATTGCAGAAATTGAAACAAGTTGAAGAAACAAAAGAGGATCCTGAGAATAGATTATCTAAAATTTCCCTGGAGTCGTTCAATAAATATAACAGCAATACTGTGATTTTATTAGAAAAAGAGAAGAACTCTCCGAACAGGGTTGAAGGACGAAAGGAAGAAAAGGAAAAAAATGAAGAGGCATCGTTGAGTAGCTCAGACCGGCCCGGGGTAGACAATTTGGAATCTTTGAGTGATTCCTTATATGATAGCTTCTCTTCCTGTGCAAGTCAGGGTTCGAATGATGCATAAAGGACTTTTCCCCCCTCAGTGAGCTGGAAATGGAGCACTTAAGAAACAGGGGTTGGGAGGGGCAGGTAGAGATGACAACAATAAACTATTACAACACCAGAGCCTGCGTTTTCAGGTTCACAGCAAGCAACCCACTGGAGCTTTCTTCTCTGACAGAGCAATAAAGATAGATTCCATGTGCTGTGTTTCATAAGGATTAAAAGTAAACACACCCATGATACAGAAGTCTTAATTTTGCACTTTTTAAAAATATTTGTACAGAAGTTGTAAATTTTTTGGAAAAGAAATTATATTTGTAGCAAAAATAAATAAATGGAATCCGTGCCATGCTCTTGAAATGATGTACTAAGTCTTTTAGAAGTTGATGATAATATATTTTTTAAAAATTCCAACTAAAGTTTTTGTCCAGTTCATCATCCTAGTGCTTAAATTGTTTGTGGGTACACTCTGAAAACCTAAAACAGGGCCTGCAAAAACAAACAAAAAACAAACAAAAAAACAGAGGCTAATTATAATCTCCAACTGCCAATCTTGATTTGATATAAACTTTAATTCTAGTGCAATTTCAAAATTGCTGCCAGAACTATTCAGGCTTAGTGATAAGTATAATTCTGCTTCTACTGAGAAGTGTAAAGAGTACTGAAGTGTGACACTGATCCGTGGGGATGCGTATCAGAAGTGACCTAATTCTATTTTCAATAGCAGATCTTCTTTCCAAACATTTCCTTACATCCTCCTCTACTTCGTCCTTCACTATGATGTGGAACATTTTGGTTGATTTTTATTTTCCAGCTCTTTTTATTAAAATCTGGGCAATCTAGAATGAAAGCAAATTTCTATTTACAATGTTCACTTTAAAAAAAATTAATGGTTGGTGCTATGAAAAATTCTTACTTTTTAATATCCTTTTTTCTACAAAGTGTTTATATGTAAGGATACATTCTATTTTAAAAGTTATGTGTATTTTTTCTAGATGTGAACTATTTATAATTGTTTTTGTACAGGAGCTTTGTAAACTAGGCATAATAGAAATATTTTTAGACTGTATAATTACTTTAGTACACACCTGTTTCTTTAAAGACTATTGTATGATCAGTGTTATGGGGTAAATTTGTGCAATTTGTTATATTTGAATTTTGTTGTCTTAAATGAAAATTATGTAACGTGTCATTCATTGTCTTTCAGACCTTTAAAAATTCTTTTGTTTCATTTCTGAATAAAAGTCCTATCACAATGAACCCGTGAAAGCTTAAAGGAACTTGTTCAAGGAGCCTTTGGCCCAGTGTAGTTGTTGGGATCTCACAGGTGCTCCCAGGATGAATTGCCCAAGGAATAAATAAACCGGCCCTCGCGCTCCCGAGATAGTAATTCAGCCAGTTGTCAGATCCCAGTCTGCCGGCAAAGGAGTACTGATCAAAGGATTTCAGTCTCCCTAGGGGTTAACCGGCTAGAAGAGAAAGGAAGAGGGGGTGCAGAAGGCGAGGAGCGGAGGGAGATAGGGACTGCTCTGCAGAGGAATGACAAGAAAGTCCTCGAAGCCCGTTTCCAGCCCGCTCTGCCGGCCGGATGGGGAAATGAAAGATCCGCGTCCCGGCCTGCGAGAGCTCCTCCCTGAGGTGGCCGAGAAGGTGAAGAGCGGCAACGCGTCTGAAACTATTTCCACAGAAAGGGGTGCTCCCTAGGGATTTGGGGGACGGGTGGGAACTGCGGGGTTGGGGGCGGGGGCACCGAGGCTCTCCGGTGCCACCTGCTGCAGGCTCCGCGGCGAGGGAGGTGGACTCGGCCGGCGCCGCCCGGATGCATCCCCGGCGGTCCCCTAGGTGGGACTCTGGAGCCCGGAGAGGATGA